CAATAAAAAAAACCTCAGGCGTATATGTAGGATACGAACCGTAATATGATAATAGCAATATAACGATAAACATGAAAACATCTCATCTTAGAAGATTTCGAAGTACCGCCCGGTACCATTTTATTTTTACTACATGGGAAGTACGTAAACAATTTGTTATGCACAACAATGTCAGGGTGATATTAAAGTCACTTACTTGGTGACGAAACGACAACGAGTTATCCTCCTTTGGCAAGCGATAACGGCGATATGATCGGATTGTCGGGGCCAATTTTTAGAAAAAGATTATGAGTATCTCCCATATTCAACTGACTCATGACATCACATGCACAAATCTACTATTTACCATTACATTAATGTACCCCAACTACTACTACGGATTCGTCATCGACTGAATCACGGGATCGTCACACAGACTAATCCTGACCGTCACACAGACTGATCATTAAGTCGTCACACAGACTGACTAGGAGTCGTCACACAGACTGACTCGGAGTTGTCACACAGACTAACTCTAACTCTTTGGTCGCTAGGTGTATGGTCAGACGTACCGAGTTTAACGGTTGTTACAAAAAGACAGTCCAGGAACCGGGATATCGCGCTGGCCAAGGGCCCAGCAAACGGGCTCAAAAAGTCCCATAACAACCCCCAGAACCTGGAAGCGTCCCACCCAATAGCACATTAACACTGTAATCAAGTTCACAAAGCGCACTACTTGGTCTGAGAAGCGATCTCCTCCACGCAATAATTGAACTGCATCGCCATCCACGCCCGTATCTTTAACAAAGTTTATCCTGGAAAGTACCCAGAGAAGGAATGGAATGTATAATGTAAACAGGCGTAAAGGCCGTAGCGCTGAGTGACACTAAGCAGCCTTGTGAACCTACTGGAAAGGTTTTATGTGCTACAGGGTTGGACTCGCATGCAAAAATGTGTGTTTGAGATATTTCGTAAGCTTATGGTAGTTAAATGGATGAGCTGAAACTCACTACATTTTTTTTCTTTTTTTTTATGATTAGTTCCTTTCTCTTAGGCACTAGGTTACAAACAGTTATTATGACTATCATTAATACTTATGTTTATCTCTATTATTGTATGATATGTGTATGTTCATGATACAGATACAATTTTTTATTTGAGGTTGAGTTGAAAAATACCCCTAGGGTAACACTCCACCTTTTCAATTTTGCACCTTTGCGGCTTTCAAGATATCATTCTTTTGTTTTATTTTATGTATGCAAAGTTGAATAAAGGCACATTATTATTATTATTATTATTATTATTATTATTATTATTATTATTATATGGTTTGATTCGGCTAGAGAAACAAGGTCTATTACCACTTTTACGTAATAGATCGTACATTTGAGATAATCTGTACATTTTGATAGATAGAATCGAAGATCGAGCAGCTTGGACATCCGATTTTAATGTTGGCGGAGTGGTGGAAACACAATAAACACAACAATAAATCATAATCGTTACATTAAAACGTTACTATTTGCAACTATTTATCAAAAGTCTATGTTTACACATCGAAGTGTTTTCAACTTTCAGCAAGTCGAAATATTACTGGCACTAAAATAGAATCAATTAATATTCTTGAATCATATTTTACGAAAGTGCTTGATATGGGTAAAAATATTAAAGTGATTCATTATAAACATGTCATGATGATTAACAATGCTGCAAGTTTAATGCTTAGCGTAATCGAAAATGTTAGATCATATTTGGAACGACTTGAAAATTGTATTTTCTGGAGCTGCAAGGAATTTTACATGTATTTTGTATTTCGAAACAAAAAAAGTTAAATGTAACATATAGAGTGTTCAAAATGTTATTTCCTCAATTCTGTTCAGTTAGTTTCCGTATCATAAGATACATAAAAAGTTGAATGAGTTGCATATACAGGGTGTCCCAGAAGTCGACGTCAAGCCGAAACCGGGTGATAGGCAAAGTCATAACAGCTATCAGAAAAATATTTAAAAAAATTTTATGTATGTGTTTTGAAAATTATAGGTCTTTGAAAAAATATAGAAATTTCACACCCTACGGCAGTCTGTCAACTCCTGTTACTACAAATATTAACTTTTTTGGATTTTATTTTTACAATGTAATGATGAATAATGCATCTTCAAACTGGTGTCTCAACCTTACTGCCAACTTTTCTCGTTCAGGAAAAATTGCCACTTATTTCCCAACCAAGTATTCCAAAGTAAAACTTTGCTCAACTTTAATTGGCTGTACTGGAAAAAAATGTACTACGAGAGTTTGGCAAGTAACCTTAAAAGTTGGCGCATTTAATAAGGATTCCAAAATGGTATAACACTTAGAAGATTACTCGTTAACTTATGCACAATTTTTATTTGAAGAAAAACTGATGAAAATTTTTCAAAATTTCCTAATTATTATGATACCACGTACAGCGTGTTCAAGCTCTTCTGCCCCGGGATTATGAGCCCCAAGTTGCTTTTTGTCGCACAATGTTAGAAAGACACAGGGAAGATCCACGGTTCTTTGAAAAAATTGTATGGTCAGATTGAGACCACATTTAAGAAAGATGGGTATATGAACCTGCATAACTTACACGAGTGGCACGTAGCAAACCCACATTTGATGAGAGAAGATAAATCTCAATATCGCTTCAAGATAAACCATTGGACAGGAATTTTAAATGGTAAAATAATCGGTCCGTTTGAGTTCCCAGAGACTTTGACTGCTGAGGTTTATTTAGGTTTTTTGCAAAATCATTTAGAACATTTATTGGAGGACGTGCCACTGAGTATTTACAGGGACATGTGGTTTCAACATGATGGCTGCCCAGCGCACTATGCACTCTCAGTGAGAGAGTATCTCGATCAAAACTTTCCAGGCAGATGGATAGGGCGGTCTGGTACAATACCGTGGCCAGCCCGGTCACCAGATTTGAATCCGTTAGATTTTTTTTACTGGGGAACTGTAAAAGAAAAAGTGTATTTCAAGCCGATTCAAAATGTAGCTGAGCTACGGCAAAGACTATTGGAAGCAGCTGAGGAAATTTTGAAAAATTTTCATCAGTTTTTCTGCAAATAAAAATTGTGCATAAGTTAACGAGTAATCTTCTAAGTGTTATACCATTTTGGAATCCTTATTAAATGCGCCAACTTTTAAGGTTACTTGCCGAACTCTCGTAGTACATTTTTTCCAGTACAGCCAGTTAAAGTTGAGCAAAGTTTTACTTTGGAATACTTGGTTGGGAAATAAGTGGCAATTTTTCCTGAACGAGAAAAGTTGGCAGTAAGGTTGAGACACCAGTTTGAAGATGCATTATTCATCATTACATTGTAAAAATAAAATCCAAAAAAAGTTAATATTTGTAGTAACAGGAGTTGATAGACTGCCGTAGGGTGTGAAATTTCTATATTTTTTTCAAAGACCTATAATTTTCAAAACACATACATAACATTTTTTTAAATATTTTAAATAATGTTTATAATTTTCGTAAATATAAATAAAGCTTTAAACAACCTAAAATAAAAAACACAACTATTGTTCAACTTTAAACAATAAAAAACTAAAATATTGACACAAATGTTCAGTCTTCTCAGTGCCATTTAACATTTAACTATGGTCTCGAAACTGAAATACTAAATTTTATGTTTGAACCATAAAAAACTGAAACGAGTTATGCCATAAATTTTCACTTAGAGAACTGAAAAATAGTAATCTGCGAAACATTTTTCCTAAATATTTTTTCTAAAATACAGTTTTGTGCTTACTCGCATTGGAAACTAAATAATATTTCGGCTGGTGGAAGAAATTTTTACTGTTAACCAAGAATTACTGTTTACTTACCCAAAGAAAGAAAACCGTATGAAAAGGTATGAATCTATTTTACTCACACTTGTTTCTGTTAGTGAACTTGCTTCGAGTTTTTACGTCTGTTGTACAGATTAAAAAGAGTAATTTATAAAATCGTTTAATGAAAAATCGATTATAAGGAAAAATTAATCATACAGGGTGTCCGCAAAGTTGGGGTTTTCCTTTACACGACGTGTAGATCTTGAAAACATAAGCAATTATTCTTAGTACCATATACACCAATGTCTTAAGGGAACCGAGATAAAGTACTCTGCAACATCAAAAATATCTGAATACCGTCCTGTAGCCGCGACATCACCGAGTGGTACAAGGTCACTGGCTCAACCCGACGACAGAACTGGGTCGGGGTCAGTGTGTCAGGTCAGTATGCAACCTTCAACCGACGGTTACGGTCACGCGTGTAGAGGTAATCGTGTAGACGAGAATCCCTCAACAAGCACTAGAGAAGTGCAAGTATCAAAAACTAAAGTGTGGCAAACGCTGTGTGAAGAGGGGCTGTATCCGTTTCACGTCCAACGTGTACAAGCCCTTCAACCTGACGATTTTCCAGCAAGAGTGCGGTTTTGTGAGTGGTTGTTGCATCAACATGACAATAATCCGGACTTTTTGAAGTGCATATTGGTGACAGACGAATCTACGTTCACGCGTAATGGGGTGAATAACTTTCGCAACAGTCATGTTTGGTCAGTAGAAAATCCGCACGCTGTCGTCGGGCACATTTTCAACAAACATTTTCGGTGAATGTTTGGGCTGGCATGGTGAACGGTATGCTCATTGGACCATTTATTCTTCCAAATTGATTGGACGGGATGCAATACCTAGACTTTTTACGCAACATTTTGCCTTCCTTATTAGAAGATGTGCCATTAACTGTAAGACAATCAATGTGGTTTCTGCGTCTGCTCGGTAGCGCATCAGCTGATTTCATTTTCTGTTGGAGCGGTATGATTTCGGGCAGAGACGTACTTAGCCCTTCTCGTCAACTGGAGAGTGAGTACTTTTTCCTTTATTTTTTTTTACTTGGTCGCCCTCGTTTCACTACACATTACCTTTGTTATTTCAAGGGTAGTTGTTTCTGAAATGGAAAACCCCAACTTTGCGGACACCCTGTATAATCAATTATTTTCTAACATCCCTAGCTCTTAATAAGTATGATTTTGAAACTGGTGAAAATAATCTTTCCGTTTCGCTTCACTCTTGACTCCGTTTTCTATGAGTCCTCAATACGTTCGAGACTAAGTCTCAGATGCCGACGACAACTCCAGTTCGGGAAATCTCATTGCAGTGCAACCCAACCAACTAAAATGTAAACAGTGAACCAAAAAACAGTGAAGTGCTTTTAGGATGAACTTTCGCGATCCATCTGGCGAAATGCATAGTTTGAACTTTCTGCAACTGAGTGGGCCGTCGCAGCCCATCAACATCACCCATTACAATGGGCGGCCGGGAGGAATGGGCGGATTGGGCGGCAGCCATCACCATCGGTACCACACCTACAAGTACCAGAACTACCATCATGGGTACGGCAGCCCGAGGTACGTCCATTTTATATGTTGAGTTTAGCGGGCGGCTGGGATGGTGAACATATGTTGTTCCTTTACTTTCACAATTTTTGTTTATCTGGTCAGTGAGATTCTTTCAAATCTTCCAAAAAAAAAAAAATATGCATATATAGAAATTCTGAACATTTTTTGAAGGTACTGAATTCAGAAAACGATAAAAACTTCTTAACAGTTTTGGATCTTCAAAAGTTCCTTTACCGGTTCAATGACGAGGGCCAGAAAATTCAGGGTTCCTAAAAAACGACATGTCATACGATTTTCCATTGTTTTACTACGTTTTTCCACTATTTTTTTTCGTTTTTCCACCATTAGTTTAAAAAAGTTCACGTAGCCCACCTTTTCCAGATTATTTAAAACGACCATTACACTTCGTTTCTTCATCGCTTTCCACCAAAATCTTTCTACTTTCAGGTTACGAGAAAATCTCCGAAAAAATAACCAAAGCTATGTGAAGTTAGCCCAGAATTAGTCAGATTTTCTGAAAAAAATTTAATACACAGATTTTTGATCGTTTTACCACGTTTCTTAACCAAGTTGTTGGTTTTTAGACCTTTACTAGCGAAAAATGAAAAATGATTTTTCGGGATCATTTGTACCACCAAAAAAATTTTATGAATTCTTTTTCTAAAGGTATTTAGGTAAATATTCATATTTGTCTATATACTTTTGTCCATTACTGTGAATAGATTTACCTTTTGTATACATGTCCAGGCTACGTGGAAATAATGACAAATCGTTTTTCCATCCTATCATTTCGCTTTTCACCAGAACCAACCTTTGTTTGGTGAGAAAAATTGAAAAACAACAGATCAGGCTTACACGTATGTAGATAGGATCAATTAACTTAAGCTTCTTACACTTAATTCAGGCTATCTATGCGTAACCCTGATCAGTTGTTTTACATTTTTCTCATTAACCAAAGGTGGAAAAACGAAAATTTCCGGTGAAAAAGTGAAGTGACAAGATGGAAAAACGATTTCCACATAGCCTGGATAGGTATACAAAGATTTGAGTAAATGTAGGCTATTTACGTGTGACCCTAGCTTGTCTTCAATTTTCTATATTTGTCAGGTGGAAAAAGTTGTTTTGTGGTGAAAAATAGTCGCAGGATAAAGATTCCCCTCAAATGACCTCGAAAAATCGTTTCTCATTTTTTCGCTATTCATAGGTGGAAAAACCAAACATTTGTTTGGAAAAACGTGGTAAAATGATGGAAAATCCGTGTGCTAATTTTTTTAAGTCTTGACTAATTCTGGTCCAACTTCACATGACCTTGGTTATTGTTTCGAAGACTTTTTCGTAACCTAAAGGTGGAGAAACGTGGTTAAACGCCGGGTAATTATCTTCTTAATAAATCTGAAAAATCTGCGCTATGTGAATTTAGCCCAGAATTTTTATTTCCATTTTTTTAAGCTAATGGTGAAAAACGTAAAATTTTGGTGAAAAAACGCGCTAAAACGATGGAAAATCGCACGTCGTATTTTAGCAACCCTGAATTTTCTGAACTAACTTCACAGAGCTAATGAAGTCAGCAAGTTGAACAGTGAAAATGCGAAGATTTTAAAGAATTGTTTTTTACGCAATATTTTTTCTACGCCTAAAAATTAGCCATAAATCTAAAATTAGTGAAAACAACGTTTGGGAACGTTCAACATTTTTATTTTTATTTTGTTAATGACAAAGATCATAGGTACTTAGACTGCCCAAAAAGCTACTCGTTTGTAATTTTTTGGACTACCAAGGTTATTTCATTCAACCATCCAAAAATATAAACCGTATCTCGCTAAACTTAATATGCTGTTTTTACACGGAGAGGATTTCCCCCTAGCAAAGGTACTTGCCCACTATACCTTATTATAGCAGTATCTTAACATGGACCTATACTCTAGGCGCTGAAGAAAGAAACTAAACCCAAACAAATACACGCATATTGCTCGTGAGTGAGTGTTTAGGCGCAGGAGACATTACAGGACCGCATCAAGATATTATGGGTAGTCATCAAAAATTTCATACAAGATAATTATTATCTTTTACAGTAAATTTCAGTTAGAGATTCACAAATGAGTTAACTACACTTTTTAGTTTTAATAAGTAAGCTGCGCGCACTCATTCAGAAGAGGAACTTGAATCTTCTGAATCGTTTAAATGAATTATTAGAGGTTCAATTTGGGTATCGATGACATTGTCCAAATCCCACATTTTGACCTCAACCTTCTCCCGAACGTGGCGGATACAGTTTTTCCATTCCTCTGCCGTAACTCTATTGACTGCGATGTGAAAGAGATTTTTAACATCAGAAAATTTATAAGTATTATTATTCGACGCCACGTATTGCTTTATGTTGGCCCAAATCAGCTCAATAGGGTTCAGCTCACAATGGTAGGGTGGCAGTCTCAAGACAGTTTTATTTTGTTTTTTGGCCATTTCGTCGATCATTTTAAAATCGTATTTGTATTTATGTCTATTGACTATACTTATCAATTCACCCTTGACCATTGTTTCATCAAAATCGATCTGTTTTGAGGTCAGCCATTGTTGTATGTTTGCTTTTTTAGTTGCCATTGTGGGAATTTTTTCTATTTTTCTAGAATGGTACGGGGCATTATCCAGTACAATAACAGCGTTATTCTCCAGCTTTAGTAACATTTTGGAGAACCAATTTTCAAAGGAATTGCCGTCCATCTCCTCATGATAGTCCCCTGTCTTTTTTGATTCAAAGGCCCACAGTGCTTCGGGAACAAAGCCGTCTTCACTACCTACGTGACAAATGATCAGCCGTTTGCCTTTTCCTGGAAATAAATTATTCCTTACACTATGGATTGATTAAATTTGAAGGAATGAGGCAATTGAGTTCATTTAGCTGAATTTAAGAGTCACGGAATGCTGATCAAAAACTGAAAAACGTAGAAAATTGAAGTTTGCAACTTCTCAAAACCCATTCAAAGCAAATTGACTGCACCCAAAAATGATAATAAATTTTAAAATAACGCTTAAAAGAGGGTCGAAGTTTTTTTCCTAATGACTACACTGCGAATGCACCATTTTTGGAGAATATCACACATTATCTGCTATCACAGCATATTATTTGCCCGAATTTATCAAAATTAAATTGCCGGATAGCTGAAGGAGCTTACCTGCAGGATTTTTCAATCCAGCCGAAAGACCGTCTAGAAAAGCCTGCCTTGATGATGTTACTGATTTGTCGACCCAAACTTTCGCTTGAGTTTGTCCAGCATTCACCCACGTTTCGTCCAAATAGTAAATTTTTCTTTTTTCATCGCGAAACTTCCGAATCTTCCTAAGGTATTCCCTTCTCCACACAACAATTTCTTCTTTCTCTATTAACATACTGTTTCTTCCTCGTTTCAAGAATCGAAAATTAAGTTCCTTCAAAAGTTTTCGGAATGTGGTTCTTTAAAATGATGGAAGATCCTCATCAGCATTAACTAATCTTAATATCTTATCTACTGTAGGTATCTCATTTCGGAAGAAAAAATTATGCACTTTCCTCCTGATGGCAGTTCTGTCAAAGTCATCTACTCCGTCCGTTATCCTTTTTCTTGCAGGATACGGTTTTGGCTCAGAAAGTGAGTGAGTGCTCCTATATTCCTTAATGATCCTATAAACACTGGACCGACATACTCCATAAATATGTGCTACCTTACATATAACTTCGTCCACGACCAAATCGGGTTTTTCTTGAATTTGGTTTTTGTATATATTTAATATTATTTGTTTTTCATTTGCACTTAAATGTAGCTTCTTAGCCCTTTTTTTGGATGGGGTTGCGCTGATGTCAACCACTTCGTCGGCTGTATCTGTGTCAGACATCGTATCTTAGGCAATATATAAACAAAACGTTCCACTCGCGAAAAACGAGTATACGCTATTGAATGCGTAATGCGTATGCAATGCAATCCTGTGCGTGAATTAACTGTTAGATGCCTGTCGTGTCATCTATAATCACGTTTACAAGTCCAAACCTGTGCAGATTCGTAGAGCGCCGACGACTGCTAGTGACCTTGAATTTGTCTGTAGATCGATGTTACTCCAGTCAATTTAGGTTCAAAGTGGATGTTTTCTAAACCAATTTGTTGTTCCTACATCAAAAATATATCGATGATGTTTTGTACTGGGAGCTCATGAAAGATCAAGGTAACTTATTTTAACAGTCATCCTTTTTCTAGTCTCAAGATGACACGAAAAAGGGTCTGTGGATTCACTAGAAATACACTGCCGAGGATGCTTAGACCTAAAGTGACTGGAGTATATCCGTGGATGCTTTCGAGGAATCTGTTCACGTGCTGATCACTGTTTACGTTTAATGTCTTTCTTCAGCGCCCAGAGTTTAGGTAATTTTGCTGGTAACGCTACTTTCTTTGATTAATGACAGGAAGAACGATCCATTTTTTGAAGGAATAATAGGATAGATAAGATTCTTTGGTGATTAGCATCCAAAATATGGCAGCAGTTATCGCAGCAACCCAAAAACGATGTTCAAAAATTAGCCATTGTGATATTTAATATTTAAGTCAACAGAGGAACTCGTACAAACACAAGAAATGTATGGTATGTCCGCCATCTGTGTTATATGTTAATATAAACCAACGCTCCGCGCTGTCTGCTATTTTGTAGCACAACAAATTACGAATTATAAAATAGGAGTATTTACAGTTGGTATTGTTCAGATCAACATTCACTTCATGATGTATTTTTGCAGCTAGAGAAAGGCTATGAATGGTCCGTACTGACATCGCTTTAACAAAATCAGTATTACAGTATTAGAGAATCGCAGTACGTTGCGAGTCCTTGACGTGGTTATATCTAACATCTGACGAACCACTATTGGCCGTACCAACTGAAAAAGCCAATAGTAAGCATTGTGTACGGATGCAGACGATATTGTGTTTCGACGATGGTCATGTTTGCATGCATTATTATACTTTTTCACTCAATGTTGAGTGCGTCGTCATCATTTTCAAAATCTCGTACAAAAGTGGACGAGATTTGTATTAATCTCGTACAGACATTCATAATCTCGTGCATATACGAGATTTCTCGTACGTGTGGCAACCCTGACACTAGCTAATTTGTTGCTTAATTCGAGATTGCGAAATTCCATTTGATTCAGAGATACCACCCGTTTTGTTAAACCTATTCAATCTCCTCCAGCTCATGAAAAGCATATACCTCTCACTCATTTGAATCAATTACCATAACCCTGCACCTGTATACGTGACCGTTACGCAGAAAAACAGCTATATACGATCTTTACACTTGGTAATTTTTCCTCCGTCATCTTTTGCTAAAAAACTATACTCCCCATCATAACCTAAGAGCTGGCGACTCACAAACTATGTAAGAGAAATGCGGGTTGCAGAAGTTTAGTTGACGAACAACCTTCAAGGCGGTGACACAAAACTAAAAAGCTTACAAAAACGTCCGCGTATTGAGACAGATGAAAATATTTTTTGAGGTTGTTGTGTTTCTAACGCTGGTGTTTGTTAAATCGGATCATACACCAGTTTTATTACACGGTACTGCTAATTTTGAGATTGCGGTTCTTTACGCAATGATCATAAACGTATAGTGGGCAAAGACCTTAATCATCTCCGCGTAAGAGCATCTAATGGACGGTGCGGCTCAAGCAGGTCGAGTCCAAGTCCGGACACCAGCTTGGACAGCAGCTTCCCCAACACGCCGATCAGGGACGAAGAAACTCTGTTCTCTCCCTCGCCGAAGATCGTAGACTCCTCTCCTTCCTCAAAATCCTCGCTGAAGGAACGCCACCATCATCACCACTCAATCCAGGAGTTGATCAGGCACTTCGGGAAGAAGGTACAGCACTGGAGGTCAGAAGGTGGCAGTGGAAGAAGGAATTCGTGCAATGAGACCAAGACTGAAGACGAGGACCCGTTCAGAGCCAGGAGTAAATCCTTGGATTATACGTTGAAGAGGCCTACGGCGCTGGGGGATTGCGAGGCCACATATAGGATATACGATACTATCCTCAAGGAAGGTAGGAATATTTTTTTATTACCAGAGTAATCGTAAAGTAGGGTCTCCTACGAATACTTTTTCAAAGTAAAAAGAATGTTTTTACTGGCCAAAAACTTGTTTATTGACATTTCTGTGTGATAAGGAGCATTATCGTGATGATTCTTGTGTTGTGAGTAAGGTTAACTCTTCCTTGATCATTCTGACTGTCAACCGGCGACCTGAATGCACAAGATCCCAGAATCTGTCGATATATCTAAAAAATCACTACGGACAACCAAATGACTCGAGCGAGTTCAAACTTGTACTGAAGACGGATCACATCGGATCACCCTCCAAGCCCGGCATCTCCAGTTTTGCCAGATCAAACGCTACGTTGCCAGTTTCATCCCTCAATTCACAGACCTGGAACTTGTATACTAATTTGTAATAATTGATACATCATCATAAAACTTCGGGCAATTTTTTGTACAGCATCTAAAATTCTCGAAACGGCAAGACATTTAAGTATATTCAAGGGCTGTAGTAGGAATAAGTTAATTAGGGTTTAGAGTGGGTTCCCTGGCTATACAGGGTGACTTCGAAGTTGAGTCATTTATTTTAACAGTGAGTAGATCTGATCAAAAGAAATGTTTTTTTCCTTTACCATTTTTCTGGTAAAATTAAAGTAACAAAGTTATAGCCCTTTGGAAGTTTGAGTACCGCCCTGTCTCAATAATAATATCATGTACTCGTGTTTGGCAACAACGGATATAATCCTCCTTACCGGTTCATCGCATCGGAAACAAAAAAGCGAAAGAATTTGGAACGATGTTTTTGCAATTAAGTATTTTATTCAGTTCAGTTATACATACAGTCAGTGTCTGTCGGTTAGCGTGTGAATAGTGTCTGTTGCGTGGCTCAAACGAAATAAAAAATGGCACACGTTTATGCGGATCGGTTTCCCAATCGAGTGCAACCAACCCCTCGTGCCTTTGTTAATGTAGTACAACGGGCTCGTGAATCAGGTGACTTAAGACCTCACAGGGGACCTCACGATCAAATACAGGTCCGCACTGAAATACTTGTCGGGAGGATACTTTATAAAACAAGGTAACATTTTTTTTTTAATTTTTTTTTATTTTTACACACATATTCTGGTTTATCTTCCTTCTACAATCATTATCTGAAAATTAATGACTCAACTTCAAAGTCACCCTGTATATACACACACACTGGTGATCTTGACTTTTACGTTTAGGATGACTTTGGAGGTCAAATCAAGGTCAGGACGGTTTTAATCTTTAGTTTTGATCCCGGGAACGCTTAGAGTGAAGAATTTTACGTTAAAATATGATATGGGGTAGAACTTATTTTGACCTTGAACGTCCTTGGTCAAGGTCATGTCTAAAAGTAAAATTTTCCTCTCTATCCGTTTGCGGGATTAAAAGTATCGGATGCCAGGTAAAAAACTGTCTAGGCCTTAATTTAAACCTCAAAGTAAAGGTCCGTTTCAAGATCATCAGTGAAGAAAGAGATCAAGGCTAACTCTCTGGTGCATTTAGATTCTTATTTTTGCTTCATTGCCAGAAAGATCTTTCCAAACGGAGGTTTTTTTCACGATGACCTTGACCAGACTCTTAAGGTCAAAGTAATTTTCCTCTGCATCCATTTCCAGGGTCAGAAGTATAGGGTACCATTAAAAAAATGCGTTGTGTTGATTTGACGATCAAGGTCACATTCAAGATCATTTACAAGGTCATCAACGAATACCGATGGACAAATTAAAACTCCTATTGACTTTGATTTCTCATTGCTTTATTTGTGGTATGATCCGGCAAATCTTTTCAGTGATGACCTTGACCAGATAGATCAAGGTCAAAATTATGTTTACCCAATGTCAGGTTTGAATGTTAAATTTTCTTGCTAAAAGTGTAGCGTTCCATTTAAAAAAATCATATTGCAATTATGTTCATGCTCAAGGTCGGATTCAAGTCAAGACTGAATAGTCAGGAAAAAATCTCAAGCCCCTATGTTACTTTAAACCCTTGAATATGCTCAAATATCTCACAGTTCCGGTACTTTAAGACTACTTACTTTGTATCCCCATGTCATACGAGCTCGCCCCTCTGTCGTTAGAGAAGCTTTGAACCTCACGTTTCATTTCTATTATACAGGGTGTCCGCAAAGTTGGGGTTTTTCTTTACACGACGTGTAGATCTTGAAAACATAAGCAATTTTTCTTAGTACCATATACACCAATGTCTTAAGGGAACCGAGATAAAGGGCTCTGCAACATCAAAAATATCTGAATACCGTCCTGTAGCCGCGACATCCCCGAGTGGTACTAGGACATTAGCTCAACCCGACGACAGAACTGGGTCAGGGTCAGTGTGTCAGGTCAGTATGCAACCTTCAACCGACGGTTACGGTCACGCGTGTAGAGGTAATCGCGTAGACGAGAATCCCTCAACAAACACTAGAGACGTGGCTAGAGAAATGCAAATATCAACAACTAAGGTGTGGCAAACGCTGCGTCAAGAGGGGCTGTATCCGTTTCACGTCCAACGTGTACAAGCCCTTCAACCTGACGATTTTCCAGCAAGAGTGCGGTTTTGTGAGTGGTTGTTGCATCAACATGACAATAATCCGGACTTTTTAAAGTGCATATTGGTGACAAAAGAATCTACGTTCACGCGTAATGGGGTGAATAACTTTCGCAACACTTATGTTTGGTCAGGAGAAAATCCGCACGCTGTCCGTCGGGCACATTTTCAGCAAACGTTTGGGCTGGCATGGTGAACGGTATGCTCATTGGACCATTTATTCTCCCAAATCGATTGGACGGGATGCAATACCTAGATTTTTTACGCAACATTTTGCCTTCCTTGTTTGCCTGCGTCTGCTCGGTAGCGCATCAGCTGATTTCATTTTCAGTTGGAGCGGTATGATTTCGGGCAGAGACGTACTTAGCCCTTCTCATCAACTGGAGAGTGAGTACTTTTTCCTTTATTTTTTTTTTATTTGGTCGCCCTCGTTCACTACACATTACCTTTGTTATTTCAAGGGTAGTTGTTTCTGAAAAGGAAAACCCCAACTTTGCGGACACCCTGTATATTCTTTGTCAGTCTTGCAACTACAGGTACTTCATTTTTGATACTTTTTTTCGCTAACGTGCGATCTATAAGATACTGGCAAAAGTGGTTGCAACATTTTCTACAAAAATTTATTCTTTTTAGGGATCATCGTCATGGAATATTTGTATCTCCAAGTTTCCAGTATTTCTAACTAAATTAACGCCAGTAAGCTGGTATGTTACTAGGCACTGGGAATTTATTTAAAAAATACCATAACATCGTATCTATAACACCCAACACCGCACATATAAATAAAAACGCAGACAGCGATAAGCAAAACATAGTTTTGAAGCCGACAAGCGATTTTAACAAACGTTAAGCATGAGACAAACATGAATACCATATTTTTACGAGGACGTAGAAAGCAAGTGCAAATGACGTCATTTAGGCTGAGCGTCTGGAAACGCTTTGCATTTTGAATAACGAGAATAGGGCCCTGGCCTACTCACTCACTGTCAGAGCTACTATCAGTTGGAGGATAGTATCGGTCCTTCACACTGTCATCTGAACTAAATCCAGAACCAGAAAGGAGGTCGTTTATATGTAAGAGGCACAGTGTCGGAGCCAAGACCGACCCCTGGGGAACACCCGCGTTGACGTTGTGGGACGAAGAGAGAAAATCAGCCACCTATCTGCAAAGCTTCTCTGGGAGGTCATAGGAAGGAAGTTTGCGTAAAAGGGCAGCGTGCCACAGCTGATCGAACGCTTTCGTGATATCAAGATCGACGACATGAGCCTCACCATGAGACAGGATGAGTTTACTCCACAATTATTGCGTGATGTAAACTAGGAGGTCCCCTGTGAATCGCTCTTGCCGGAAACCAGACTGCCTGTCGCTAATCAAGCTGTGACGTTCGAGGTAGTCCAGAAGCTCGCGATTTATGCACCTCTCCATCACCTTACTCATAACAGAAAGTAGGCCTGTAGTCGTAAGGGATGGTTTTAGACCCTTTTTTGGGATTGGTTGGAGATGAGCACATTTCCAGTTTTCTGGGAAGGTGCCGGAATCGTAAGATATCTGGAAGAGATGCGAAAGAACTGGAGCAGCAAGCTCAGCTGCACACCGTGCATAAGTCCAAACCAGAAGATTTGTTGATGTCGAGCGACGGTCTTATGCCTGAACGTTACTTCCCGCGTAGTGTGCTCTTTGAACCCATTGAATCGACGACACCCTGGCGTTGGGGGGACGTCCGTCCATCGTGGTGTTGGTAGCACAGATCGCAAACTCTTTCGCCTTAGCCTTTTAGCTGGTCTTTGGCATTGTAGACCGCTTCGTTATATATTTGTTTCTAATGTATGGGATATCGAAGTTTTTCAAAAACGCCAATAAATCAACTTCGTATATACATACCTACGCTATGGGTGCTTTTACATGGAAATGCGGTTTTTAATTTAAATGTGGCTAGGTACTTTTTTATTACCCCAAGCAGATGTTCTTTCAATTTAGGGAACAGGTGGTAGTCACTGGGTCCGTACTATAGGGTGTGCGAGTGATAATCTCCCATTCAAACTGTTGCTGAACAGCGGCGTTTTGACAGGCAACGCGTGGGCGCGCGTTGTAGTGTTTCCCTTAACTTGTTTTCGAATATTGGCCGAACTAGGGCTCGTTATATCTGAATCGGTGCCCTGTAATTGGTCCGCGCCGTGGAGCAGAAAATCCCTGAAAATTAACACCAAACAGGCGGGAGAGCACATCAGCGTTGTTAGCCTTCGCGTTATTTTGAATGGAGTTGCGACTAGCCGCTTGGAAGTTTCAACATCTCATTTGTGAGTAATGGTATTCTGGTGTTACGGGAGAGCGGTTGTCGGTTAAAATGTGTATCTACTTTTGTTGTTTCATATGTGCATTCATTTCTGGCCTGATGAAGCCAACCAGCAGAAATACGTATCGCTCGGGTTACCTATCCTATTTTCTGCTCGAATCCACTTTCCTGG